CATAATGACAGAAGTGCTGATGGTCTGCTGAAAAGATTGGTGCTGCTTTCAGTCTCCTAGAAACGCAGACTGCATCATTTGCAAAACAAACGGGATAAAGGGACCAAAGAGAGACGGGGAGAAACGCACACCTTCAAACTCACATCATTTCCCCATTGATGTGTGTTTGTGATAATTTTGCATTACAGTTTTCAGAGTTAAAAAAATAATAAAAATTAATACAAGGATTTTTTTTTTTATCTATTCAGGTAAACAAATCAAAAACAGCAAATGTAGCATTAATGTCACTCGAAACCTGCAGGACTTTATGGTATGCTTTAAAAGAAGGGCTCAGCTTGTATTTGCAGATATTGAACAATAATTGTTTATCCCACCAAACAATGTCTTTCTTATTTAATCAATCTAAATGTATCTATTTACAGAAAAATGTTACATAAAAAGAATATCAATAGACTAGAAAAACAATCTGATAAATAATATTCTCCAATTAAATCATAAAAAAAAAACCTGTTAGACAAATAACAGTTTCTGTTTCCAACAATTTTACCCATGTAGATATAGTGCATATAGACAGATTGGATGTTTTTAGTTTTAAAGCTCTTTTTTGCAGTGCTGTATTATGCCAATAACTGTTTAATTATTAGAGACAGTCGGCAGCTGAATAAATAACAGAGGAGACAGCTGAGGACAGGTGTGGGGATGGATGAACAAACATGGCCACAATGTAGTTTATTCATAAAAATAAATAATGCATCTGAAAACTATACAGTGAATTAATCAGAGTGGAACTTTTGGGAATATTTGTTAGATGAAAAAAGAAAGAAAGAAAGAAAATGGTTACATATGCAGCCGGAACTTGTTCTGTCTCTCTTACCGGGGTTTATGGGCGCTCACGGTCCCGTCGTCGTTCACAAATGACTGATTGACGTAGCACTCGCTGCACATCTTGGCCGGAGATCCGGCGCTTCTGTCCGGCTGGAGTGCTGCGGTGGTCGGCGTGGAGTCCTTCACGAAGTCGTCTTCCTGGGTTAATTGCATCGGAGGGCGATCTGCCAGGCAGAAGTGTACAGCCCAACAAAAAAAAAGAGCTATTATTAAATAAAAGTTATCCTCCCTTCCACTTTTGCGTCTCACCTATGCAGGTGCATATTGGAGGGAAGTATATTGGTTTTTCCACCTACGCTCATATAAAGTGACTAATGAGTTTCTTTTTTAGCAAAATATGATGAACGGTGGACTGATAAACGAGAGGCATGAGACGAGGCTGACAGCGTCACAGAAGGAGACGCAGAAGAGTCAGATCTGCTGCGGTGAACCTGACAGGATTCTCCGCTAGCGCGCACTGACTCCAGCTCAGGTGGAAACAAAACAGCGCCATCTGGTGGAGAGTCAGTGTATGGACACATTAAACATGAAATTAAAATACAATCCATTCCAAATAAATATTTGCATATTTTCTTGAGTAAAACATCCATTCATATTATAATTGAGAAGGAATAACTTTCATTTTATACTAAAATTGCAACCATAGTAATTAATGAATTTTGGAGTAACAGATCAGTGATGCTATTTTTATGACACCTCTTTATAAAATCTAGAGCTGTAGTTGCTTTGATATATCCAATTACTTAGTATAAATAAATTAGTATAGATATAGTGGGTATAAATGCAGCTGTTCATTGAAGGTCTCAGAGGCTTGTCAGAGCTGGAGATATAAAAATCATTACAGACCAGGAAACACAGCATACAGATTGTGGGTAATTTAAAGGGAAATATAACACAGTTTTTTTTATGAAAATATATTTTTTTCAATCTTTTGAAGTACTGTACAAACCGTTATCAAGTAATTGAAAACGTCAAGCACAACTTCAAACAAACATACGTTTCCATCTAAGCTAAGAGGTCATCATTAGATAATTAATTAAAGATGCATGAAAAATAAAAATTAGAGTCTGAAGGAGCGGCAGAAATCAATAGTTGAAGTCAGAAAATGAATTAACAGAAAAGCTATTAACTGTGCATGACACAATTCAAATAACAAAAAAACCCGAAGCCCTGTTTGTTTTTTGTATTTTCCCACAAGCCATGTAGCAGACACTGCAAAAAGACATGAAAGAGGGTGCTATGGTTAAATGAGATCTAAATTAGATTTTTTTTACGTAGAACACTTTTTCAAAACTAACAATACACATTATCCTGAAAACAATATCGGCATTTTGTAACATGGCAGTGGCAGCATGATGCTTAATCGATCATTTTATTAAGCATCGAAAAGCAAAGATTGGGGGTGATCAATACAGGAAGAAAAGACTTGAGACTCGAGGGTGCATGGAGTTTTATCCTAGAGCAGGACAACAACCCTAAACATTCATTGAGAGCTACATTAATCCAAGTCAAAGCGTATTTATGAGTTAGATGGCCCACGGCGAAATCCGGACCAAATCAAGCTGACAGTTTATGGCAAAACATGAACAGTGATGTTATAAACATTTATTATCAATCTGACTGAAGTTAAGATATCTTGCATAAAATAATTGAACATTCACCTTCTTAAAAGTAAAGAAAAGCTTTTAGGCATATTATATATAATATATATAATATTCTGATAGGTAGCTGTTTCGCCTGAATACAACTGTAGTTTTTTTTTTCTTTTATTGTATTACTTTTCCAAAAAGAAACATCTTTATCATTTTCCTTCCACTTATGACTTATCCAGTACTCTGTGTTGGTCTATCACATGAATCATGATTAAAAATATAATATAATGGTTCCAGAAAAAAATAAATACATTTTCTAGGTACTACAGTATGAGATGCAAAAAGTGACCAGCTCTGCAAAAATAAACTATATATATATATATATATACAGAGAGAAAGATTTTAAGTTAAGTAACAAGAGCTGAATAAATCTAGATATTAGAGATACCCGATCCTGTTGTCACACCAATCTGATTGACACAACCTAATTGATGATGGAAGGCTGATTCACCATAATAACAAAATTTCACATATCCTCCTACTTTCTGTTTTGTGTCAATCTAAGATCCTTCAACCTTTAGAAAAAGGGGAAGTAGGATAAGTACAGCCCGGTCTATAAGACATAACTAACTCTAAAATAAAAACAAGCATTTCAGCATTAATGCTTTTAGATAACAGAATTACAGTAATTATAAAGAGGGTATTCTGACCTCAGTAAGCTAATACAAATAATAGCTTCTTCATACAGCAAATGCCTCCTGCACTGGGTTTGTTTTTCTTTTTCTCCCTGATCTGTTATTTATTCCATGGGTAAAATTCATTGAAGTGAATGCTAGAAATCAAGTAAAGCGAATGATGGGATATTTTTTCTGACGATCTGATGACACACGGAGGAGAAGACGTGGGTGAACGGATGATTCACAGGCGACAGGTGAGGTTATTTGTGAGTTTCCAGCTTATTATGAATGCTTGAGGTTAAATCAGAGCTAAGAGGAGAGAAGAGTTGTTTTTACTGCTGTGGGGTAGAAGGATATACCAGGTCTGTTATGCTCCAACTGCAGATATGCTTTAAAGGCATTTTACACCTAGTGTCTCTGAGTGGAATGCATTACATTTAGTACTCAAATAATAAATTAAAGTAGATATGGTTTTAATACATTTAATATAACTTCTCAAATGTCCTGCCATTTATTAATTAACATACACAGTTTAAGATTTTTCTCAGTCCAATTAAAAAATACTTCATCTTAAAGGGGAAATAGATTAAAGCAGGTATCCGAGTGGATGACACACCTAATTTGCCACTTATGAGTTCATGAAATATTTAATAAAAGGGGTATACTATACTAATCTTAAGACTGCAGTCAGATAAAGTAGGACTTAGTGCTAAATACCAAAAAAGCACCTGTAATATTTGTTTTAATAGAGCATCTTTTGTGTGATTTGTCTTCCTGCACCTCAGCATTGTTGTATTTTTGCCATAAATATGATTTGCAAATGGTTTTAAATCATTTCAGCTGCACATGTTTATTTGTACTGAAAGAAACCTGATTGATCACATGAAGGTCATAAAAAGATTTCATTGCAGCATCACTGTCTTAATTACTCAATACTCACGATACATTAAAGATATAACAGACAGCATTTTTTGTGGCAGATCATACGGTAACTTCAGCACAATTAAACCAATTAACTTTGAAGACCAAAAATCTTCTACTGACCACTAATTATCTTTAAAGTTTGGATAATTATTATTTTTCAATAATAGCACACCATTAACACCGATTCAGAACTTTTTATTCAGCACATATGCATAAAAGAATGAAAATTTCCTTTGTGTTTTCTTTTTATCGCTGTGGGAAATCTTTGATTTTTAAAGCGCCAATAAAACAGCACAAACATTTATTACGTGAAAATCGCATATTGCGTACCAAATGACCATCAAACAGCTTTTTAATAATTGCTGATATTACATAGAATATTTTCTTAAGTAACTGACTTAACAATTGGCAAAAATTTGATCTTTTAATTTAAAGGCTTAATAGACCGTGATCGTAATAGTGGGTGACGACATTTGCTAATTAATGCATAGGCATAGAAGTTAAAAATACAAGAAACTGTAACTTTGATTTTTGTCTGCATTGTATAAGGACTCAAATTTTCATTTAAAGGAAAATATAAATTATTTTAATTTAATTTTGTTATGTTGAATCTCCAAATTAATGTTTATTTCTGGTAAATTCCTCCAGAAAGGGATACACATAAAGAAATACAAGAAGCATTTGTAAACACATTTATTAAAAAAAAAGGAAAAAAAAAAGATAATTGACAAAGAACTGTACATTTTGGAGAACAGTGCTGCTAGTAGGTTGACAATGTAGAGTGGGTAAAAAACTACATATGGATGGAAAACTAGGAATATCTAACATCTTATAAGTTTGCTTAACTATCTAGTAAGAAAAATTAAAACTAGGAATTACTTCGGTACTATATTTTTTTTGGCCAAGTGTCTCTTCTATTACATTCTCAATTTTATAATGTTATCCAAGTATTTTTGCTCCAGATTGATGTGCCTTTATAGCCTTTAATGTTGTTCTTTAAAACAAAGCAGTAACCAACTGATTTGAGGTGACGTTAATCTCAACAGGACTGTACCAAATATTTAAGGAAAGCTCCTTCAGCCCATAGTGTGTGCTGATTATTCAGCTCCTTCTGTGCCGACTGAGGCCACAGCTGAAACGTAGTAGGGTCCTTCTTTTAGATACGTCTTCAGACGGATGTAGTTTTGACTGCCCAACATTTCTGATGCGGTAGATGAGCCGACAAGAGATCCCACCAGTTCAAATTTGGCATCTTTGGCCTCCTTTGTTTGGCCAGTAGAGCGGTTCAATATGAACTCCATGAAACCAGGAGTGCTTATCATCATCTTCTGACCCCATGGCTGGCAGGCAATGGCCTAAAGAAATACACACATATACAAACATTCTATCAATGCAAAAAGTTAGTTTTTTTAGGCCATGATTGTGATAGTGTTGTTAATTACAGTGAAGATCCTCAAAGCCCCGCAGTGCAGCTCTGGAAAAGGCTGAGTACTGATGTTGTGGATCATATCCATTGGATGGTTAGACAGAAGTTGGAACCAGGACTCTGTCAGGGACAAAAGGTCGTCTGTTTGATGCTCTGGCTGCAAAAGGGGAAAAGCTTCAAGCTGAGTTTATGTATTCAACAGTAACACACTAATATATGCACAGTTTGTTTACATCAATACCTGAAGGGTGAGTAGCTGGGATATGGCATCCAGGCTTCGAACTCTCAGCTCCGTAGCTCCAGAACCAGCAAGCTGGCTTATTCTTGAAAACACAGCCTTGAAGTTTTCTCCTATTCAGAGAAAATCTATTATTCTGGATGATAATGATTTTTTTTAATACAAAATATGCAACATATGCACTAAATGACTAAGGTGTGACCCAAAATAACCCCTGAAACATAACTGTAAAGACAGAAATCACACCTACCTGTCTTCTGCAGAACCTGCTTCCCCTCGACTGTAGAACCAAGTAATCCCAAAGTATCCAAGGCAACCCCAATCATGACTGGATCTGGATCCAGGGCCATGTCAAACACCTTGCTTAGGAAGACTGGGTAGGATTCACAAACCTGCTGGGGGCTGTCCATGATGGCCAGGTTCCCAAAGAACTTCACCAAACCTAAACCAGAGATGCACACAGATTAATGGCCAAGATGAACTTTGATTATCATTTCCTGAAAAGTGAAGTTTTAAAAAACACTTGTTGAGTTCTCTCAACTTCTTTTCTCTTCAGATTAGAACCCAAACATAAAAGTGGATCAACAAAATACATACCTATTATATATTTATGTATCTTAATCATGAACTCAGTGTTATATCTAATTTTAAACTAGCTTGTAAATCTACTCACCAGGAAGATAGAGGGAGGAAAACGGGTCTGTCTCGGCTCCTCTGATCATGTTGGAGATCTTACCCATAATGCCTTGCTGAGCCAAATACTGTCGGCCATGCTGACTTTGGGCAAGATTGGTCACCATCTCAACCGACGTGGCCCTGGTTGGAAAGAAATTATCAAAACAATTAAAAGCACTATCTGAAAGAATAGGAGCCCTTTCAGAGAAAAACAAGACATGAAGTATACGAGTTGTGACACAGACACAAAACTATTGCTACCTGATTAAGACATCATCACCCGTCAGCTCGCTGAGCAGCTGGGAAATGAGCCCACTGTTGGCACAGTAACCAAGAGAAATGGGAGAAAAAGATGAGATTTCAACCACCAGCTGCAAGCAGAAAGAAAAACAAGAGCAGCTTCTGATCATATGAGCTTTTTTCTTTTGGAAAATATGATTAAACCAAATGAGAACATTAATTTGGTTTCATCTAGATTATATTATTTGATAAGCTTAGTACTTCTACAGCGGGTGAAATAAGTATTAAACACCTCCATTTTTCTTAGTAAATATAATTCCATTTCACTTTATTACACATAACCTAATTTCTGGACATCTTTGGTTTAAATTCTTTGTATTGGTGGATTGCATGGATTGTAACTGAAATCTGATGAAAATGTCATATCAATAGTAGCCCTAGAAATATATTTACTGAGAAAAATGTTGGCATGTTGAATACTTATTTCACCAGATATATGAAAACAAACTAGAATAGAATAATCACTTTATGAAACAGATGTAATCAAAATTAGTTTAAAAAAAAACATTGGGCATGTATTATTTTACAGTCATAACTTTCAAGGAAAATAAAATTACCTCATATATTCTGTATCGGATGATGTCACTTTTGGCCATCACTTCCTTCATGACGTCAAGAAGATCACTCTGAAATAACTTGTCCAATCCAGGCTTAGAGTGACTTATTTTAGAAAGGGATTGAATAGCCTAAAACAACACAAGAGAGAGAAAAATACCCAAAACAGAACGTCTTATACACCAAAAAGGCTGAATAGAAACTGAATAAAACAATTTCAGCATTTAAAGTTTTCACCTGTTTTGCCACAGCAATCCTCTCTTCTCCAATGCAAAGAATCACCGCTCTTAAGATGTTGTGGTTGTTGAGAATTTCTGTGACAGCCTCTGGGTGCTCCACCACCCTGCCAATCTGACAGAAAAACAAAGTGTAATAAATGTTTTACTGGTTGCTATCCGCTGTGCATGTTTACAAACCGCTCACCTGTGTCAAGGCCAATATCTGGACATTGTCATTAGGATGGCTTAGACCCTCTAGTAGCTTTTCTCTGTAATTCTGGACCAAGTGCAAGGGGCTGAGGGCTAGTAGGATCCGTTCAAGAATGTCCACACACAGATCAACCTGTGCCCTACAAGCAAAGGACACATTAATACCTCCAAACCCTGTAAACCAGGGGAATGAATCATGTACAATCCAAAGAGTAATGTTTTCCTAAGCCAAGCAAAATGAAACAATTGACTCAAATGTTACCTAAAGCTGTACCTTAATGGAGAAGATGTTAGATGTTAGACCTGATGCTAAGAAATTGGAGCAAAAAGGTTCATTTTTCTGTTTGGTCAAATGATCTACTGGGAAACTTAACAGTTACCTCACTTTCATCAGTTGATAAGGTCCTGGATATATTGGCAAAAACCTTTCTTCAACTATGGCAAAACCCCATTTCAATTGGATTCGGATTAATTAAAGCAATAAATCAGTTTCTAAAATGATACAACCTCAACCCTATAGATAATTTGTGGCTAATCCATAAAGCCAACTAGGGAACAACTAAAAAACTTTACAATTTTTAAATTAAAATCATGAAGAGTGTCAAATATCCTGGTGGAATGCTGCCAGAGGTGTATTAATGTTTTCAAAAAGTCGGAAACGAAATAACCAGACGCACACATTTCCCTCCATCAAGCTATTAAAAAAAAAAACTGTGATATAATTCCAGCTTTGTTCTTTCAGTTACACAACGTAAGGCATATCAAAAATATATATTTGTTAGAACAGCAATTAAACTGATTTAAAAAGACTTAAAATATGGATATTTATACAAAAAAAAAAAAACGAGAAACGAATGGGGGTACTGATGAAAAAAAGCATAAAGTCTTGGCTGAATCTTACAAAGGACAAAATAAAAATCATGTAGCATTATAGCTAAATTAGCATGCTAACAGCATGCTAACTTAGCTTTTTTAGCTCGCTTATGTTTTCTGTTGTTATGTTTAAGGCTATGCTAACACATGCTACATCATTGCTGAGGAGTACCACTCTCACTGACTCAGCATTTAACAGGGAATCCTGCGAACAGTGTAAACAAGCTTCGCTCACACCAACCTTTCATTGGAGCTTAGCAGAGAGAAAATCACATCGAAACGCTGTCCGCTCACGAATTCTCTGAGGGCGCTGAGTGGAATGGAAAACAAAGCAGTTTTTAAGCTCTCAAGCTCTTCAATTGGGTCTTCAACTCCTGATATTTCTTCCAGCAAACTTTGAATGGTGGCAGCCATGTCTGTTTGGTTTAGGAACTCCCCGGCGGTTACTTCCGCTTCTTCTTCATGTTACCTTAACCCCTTCACAACCAGGGAGCGCGTTACCGCCATCTACTGGTTTGAGTGGGAACACCCAGGTGCTTGATGCCCCTCTTTTTCTAGCCTGTTTAAAATAATAGTATAATCTCTAATCCCAACAAAATGTATGTTTTATGAATCTTTAAAGTAAATAAATAGAGCATCTCAAAAACACAGCTACACCAAACAAAGTTACAAAAAATGTTTAATTCCAGTTGCCATGAATCTTGAAACCATTTCATTAAAATCATATTAGCTAAAATGTTACAAGAACCTTTATGCAATCTCTTTATGCTTGTTACTCACCTTATTTCAAACATAAATACCAGTGACACACGGAAAATGTACACATACATTGTGTGTAGGACTCTGTATCCTGTTGAGGGTCAGTCCATACTATCAAAGACAGTGATGGTTATTGATTGATTGACTTTATGGATCTCACAGTGGAGAGATTTACTTGTTACATCGGCTCAAATAGTCAAAAAGAAGAAGGTGCCAAAGGAAGAAAAGGTACATGGAGTATATACAGTGTGCACAGTGCGTTCACATAAATATATGTGTATATATAACACACAAAATTGACAGCTGAAGTTTATTTTTTTTCCTTTTTTATTTTTAGCAGGATTATTATACAGGGTTATTGCACAGGGAATTTACATGGGTATTTATATAGATGGGTATTAATCTATATGGCTAGTGCACTGGGTATCATTAAGTATACCCGAGCAAATTTTATTTGCATTATTTTATCACATGTACTAAATCCCTGAATTCTTAGAAGCACCAGCTAGTATTCCTGCTCCATCAGCTGTCTCTCTCTCTACTCAGCCTTTTATTCTTTACTTAAACGTCTGCAGTATATCCTACCTGTCTAGCCTTTAGAGTGAGGTCCATTTTTTTCAATTTCACCATCAGATTGAGGACCAGTTGTTCCAAAGTGAGGACAAGTTGTTGGTCCTTACATGCTATTTTGCCAATGGTTAGGTTTAGGGCAAAGGTGTCGATTGAGTTTGGGTAAGGTATGCATTGGTAATGGATAGGTTGAGGGTTAGTTTTAGGGTAAGGGTATAGAAAGGGTTGAAAATGACTGAAAATCAATGGAAGTCAATGGGAGTCTACACATGGTACTCACTACATACAGTAGAACAAGCATGTGTGTGTGTGTTTTTTTTCTTTTTTTTCCTCTTTTCTGAAACCTGGGCATGGGAATTGATTTACCGTATATGTTGTCTTTACTGAATAAGTATGGATGCACTGCTCTAAATGAGAATGATTCCACATGGAGTAAAGTTACATGCTCATAAATCTAACCACACAGTCTGATGCTGTCCTCACCAGGATTTGATCAAAATGTTCCACTCTGGCCTCATCTATACAGTGCTTTTTTAGTAAGTATATTTTTCCCTTGTTCTTTTTTTTTTATTATTCCTTTATTTAACCAGGAAAAGTCCCATTGAGATTAACAATCTCTTTTTCAAGGGAGTCCTGGCCAAGACAGCGGCAAAAGATTACATTACAAATTACATTACAGTTTACAATTACATCTATCTATAATTAGAAATTCATAAAACAGTTACAAACCATAGATATAATTTCCAAACCTTTGAGCAATCGTTTAAAATGTCCGATTGGAATTAAATCCTTCAACTTCCAGTCTTTCTGAAGATTGTTCCATGCTGTGGGGGCAGCTAGTACTGAAAAGCTGTCTTTCCAGCTTCAGTGCGGACACTAGGTACAGACAGAAGCAAAGACTCTTGAGAACGTAGAGAATACAGTCCAGCCACTCTTGGTTGAATGTACTCACAGAGGTATGAGGGGAGCAGACGCAGAATACCCTTATAAATCATCATACCAGTGAGTGAGTCTATGAGTCTCTAATGCTGGCCTGGCCAGCATTGTTGTTTTTCATTGTTAAGACAGACCTACTAAACCAAGCTGTTTGTTTCTACAGTTGCTTTGTAAACAATTGGACTGTGGGCTGCTTGTTTGATGATGGTACATGGTAAATGGTAAGAGGTGAGTAAGAGGACTTCAGAGTAAGACAACTCTAAAGAGCTTCATACTACATTCATTCATTCAAACAATTATGGTGGTAAGACACATCATAGCCACAGCTGTGCTGGGATGAACTGACCAAAATGAGCCTGCAATTCAATCACCACCAGCCGGCCCTGTGACTACCAGCAGCAGGAAAAGTAAGAGAAATGTTTTGCCCAAGGACACAAAGACAGAAATCCAATGTGTGATCCAACATATTCCCACTATTGATCTCATTACCCATCCTGTCATTTAAGGCAGATGACCATATCCTGGTATGGTTGAACTTGTGCCATAATCTTTTCTATATCAATAATTTTGTTGTATTTTCAAAGAATGTAGTCAAATGCACCGAAATCAAATTTATAAGTTAAGAAACAATATTTTAATTTGTTTTAGCAAAGGTCATCATTTCTAAAGATTTTTATTGAAGTGTTTTTAAGATTAATGTTTTTGTGATTAATGGTGAATATCATTGACTTTAATCAGCTTATTTTTCTACGTGTGCTTGAATAGGTATGCATAATGCAGGATGCACTCCTCGAAATCAAGCCCTGAGTTGAGAACAGGGTGCACAGTTACACACTCCTAGGGTTTCATGTAAGTAGAGAGTCATTGTGTCATCTGTTTTTGTTGTAGAGCCATTCTGTTGCGGTAGGTTCAATCATCACTTGCTGCTAATAAACAGATAAGCAAGACTTTTGCTGCTGCTGTCATGAAGGTACAGAATACAATTTTTTTCATGTCATAAATTCTGATTAAAGTTTCCTTTACTGTATTTAGAGTAATCCATCTTTTTCTTGACACCGCAGTGCTGTTTCTGTAAGCTGCGTACCCATCAGTGGTGCTTCCTCCTGTTCAACATCTTGCTGTTCCATGCACTGCTATTCGGGGCAGATTTTGTTGAGGAATACATCCTTCAGCCTACCCCTGTGGTTTACACTGATGTTATGGTTGCTGACGTGAGGGAGAAAGCAAGGAAACTGGACTTGAGCACCATAACAGAGAATGTGTCCCAAGCTTATCCAATTTCTAATTCAGAAACCTGCAAAAACTCCGACCTATTCCTCCTCGCTCTGGTCTTCAGCTCTCCTGCTAATATCACCCAAAGAGATGCAGTGAGGCGAACTTGGGCAAACAGAACACAAATTCAAGGTTTTCCTGTTAAGATACTCTTCTTCACAGTATCGACTCAGTCTTTTACCACACAACAGGATCTCTTGAGAGAGTCTGAGCTTCATAGCGATTTGATCCAAAGCCATGCTGTAGATGAGTCATCCCTCTATGGAGCGAAGGATAAAACATTGCTGGCTCTTCACTGGGTTATCAGATTCTGTTCTCTTGCACGTTTAGTTCTGTTCACTGAAGACTCCGTGTTCATTAACCTACCTGCCATTGGAAGATACCTGCTGGGCCTTCACAGACATCCAGAGGACCTGTATCTAGGCAGAGTAATCCAGAAGGAGTTCCCTGACAGGGACCCCAACAGTCCACGTTACCTTCCCCGCACTCTCTACCCAGACAAATATCTACCAGAATACTGTGAAGGAACTGCTTACGTACTGTCGCAAGATGTGATCCGTAAAATCTACGTTGCATCCTCATCAGTCTTTGCAGCCCTCCCGGTTGACGTTTTTGTAGGTCTCTGTGCAAAGAAAGCTGGTGTCACGCCAACCCACAGTTCCCGGTTCTCAGGAGACAGACATATCCACTACAATGCCTGCTGCTACAGACACCTGTTCAGTTCTGCAGGGATGGGGAGCCAGGAGTTAGAAAGGCTGTGGGAAGACCTCGAACAGAAAGGTGGAAGATGTTCGTTGCTAAAGATCTACTATGGCCTTGTGACCTGCAAAGTTCGCACATATCTGGATACATTTTTATTAGACAACTCAAAGAAGGAAACTTAATTGTGTTAACCGGTTAAATCTTTTTTTTTTTTACTGTTACTATTAGTTTTTGTAGAAATCCTAAGTATTACAACAAACATCAAAATAAGCTTGACTGTAGCCTTGACATCTAAAACAACTGTTATCTGAATAATAGATTTCCTTGAACAAAATAGAAGGAATCTAGTTATTAAGCATCTTCAGACAATCTAAAACTTGATGGTGCTGTTTGTGCTACATTTGATTTCTCAAATTAAATTACTTCTACCAAAATAAAGAAAATACTCTGCTTATAGAAACTCTGGTTTTATTTCTCTTGCAAGCTGCTTAATGATAGAGTAAAGCATAGTAACCATAAATAAATAAAAACTTCCATAACTTTGGCAGTGATATATATATATATTTTTATAACTTCTTGAGGTACTTTTCTGTAAAAATGTTTGTATTACCCATCTGTAACCTGCAGGTATTGTTCTCTGGAGACTTTTTGTAATAGGTCAAGTGACAAATGACAAAGAGCAGATAAAAATATTTCTGCAAACTGGACTCAGGTCTGAAGTTTGATAAGGTTATTCTAACACATAAATACAATTTCATCTAAACCGCTGTATGGTACCAAGTGGAAGATCCTTTCCAATCTAAAGTTCTTTGCTAGGTCTAACTGGATTTCCTCCAGGACTCTGATTAGTTCCATTCATCTTCTCATTGTAGCTGCCAACACTATGGTAGAGACGTTGTGTTCAGGGTGATTTTGCTCCTAAGATTTTTAATCTTGGTTAAAATGTTCAGATTTGATTAGATTTAGTTTGGAAGCTCAACCTCTTAGACATGTTTGTAAGAAGTCAGGGCTTCTAGTTCTCCGCTTTGAAAGGTCTGATTTAAAAAATTAATATTAACAGATTTGTTTTCCTAAGCGTAGAGCTACAAATCTCTGAATCTCTTTCAGATTCTCCAGAATACCACATACTTCATGGCTGCTGCACTCTCTCCTTGACTGTCAATTTAGATGATTGTCTTGGTCAGTGTAACCTTTGATCAAGCTTCTTTTGTATTTTAATGTAAGATTGAACATTGTTTTATATTATGCTAAGAGCTTTGGATAGTGTTCTTAAATTTGAGATCATTTAATACTTCTTACTATCCAGTTGAATAGCTGCAGGAAAGCCTCCCTACAGCACGAAACTGCCATCAACACATCCTCAAACAGCTCTGATTTCTTCACTGAACAGCTGTATCTATAACGGGATTAAATTCCCCACAGACAAACTTTCTTTACAACTTATAAAGTTATTTGCCTATATTGGAGTTAATTTAGCATATTTAGTATAGAGGAGACAAGATAAATATTCATGGAACAATTTTCAAAGAAAATAATATTTTTTATTCCACTTTACTTTTAATTATGTGCAACTATGTTTTTCCAGTTATATTGTTTTAAATGTGAGAGAGCTCAAGGGGTGTAATTACTTAATCAATTTTGATAACTTTCCTTTAACTCTGCCACAGAGGAGTTTTTGTGGACACCTGGTGGTAGGTTTGAGTCATAGCAACAATAATACTAGAGCATTTCAGTATAATATCCTCTATTTAAGGGAAAAAATGACATACATTTTTTTAACATTTTGATTGGAATGTTTATTTGATCTGAAGGTCCGACAGTTTAGACATTTCAGTCGAAATTCACCTGCTTTCCTGTCTTTCTTTTTTAAAAGCAGACTGAATAACACCATCAGGCAGTATGTGTCAGTAAAACATGCAAATTAAGAACAAATTTATGTGCTGTAAATGTTGTTTTGAAACCTCTTTCTAAATTCCACCAGGGGAAAGTTTGGCTCCTGTCCTGGTACCTTGAAAGGCCCAAACAAAATGTTTGGCTGTCCTACAACCTTCTCTTTGCCAGCGGTTCACACTGCAACACTCCATTCACTTTGGCACGGTTCCACTGTGTCTGCTACGCTTTCTGTATCCTGGCCAAAAAGCTTCAAAGAATAACGCCTCAGCATGTCAAAAGCAGCTCTGGCAGATGATTAGTCATGTCAACAGTTGGACTAAGATGCCATCAGTGTAAAATTGAATTGCTCTACAAGAAATTCACATCAGCAGGTTTAATCCATTATCGCAGTCCTTGTTACTTTTTCTATATATTACATAAAAAATGAAATTCATTTTAAACAGTTTTTTGTATAAAATCACATTCATGAGTCAAATACGAGGTATAATTTTGTCTCATTTAGGAATTGATGAGGCACATTATTTCAAAGCATAAGTTTAGCATTTTGTTCACCTCTGTCAGCTGCTATGCTGCCATGGGGGAAGGAAATAAACTCTGCTTTAATACAGAAATCCTTTTGTAATTACTAACTTTACTGAGAAATAGACACTAGCACAACAATAGCCTTACTGACAAAACTGTTAGGCATTAAAACTACGACAATTATATAAGCAGAAGGATAAAGTGAGACAGATCACAACTGTTGCTAGGACTGAAGAGAGGTAATTTTGCTAAATTCACTGGATATTAAACACAAAAGGGAAACACAGGGAAACAGAAACAGAGTATATGGCAAAACACATAAACTGCAAGGACTGCGAGAACAACAAGACACTCAGAAGCAGGTGTATGAGGAAAACACAAAGTAAATCTAATTGTATCACAACTAATGAACTAAACAAGCACTCAATATTTAGAGACACAAAATAAATAAAAACTGAAAGTTAAAAAACCTCATGTGCTGTTTAGTATGGAGAAGAATATTTGACAGTGGGATACTGTTTATTTTTTCTAAAAGCTATAATCACCTTTTACTCGATCACCTTAGGGGCTGAAACAATTCATCGGATTGATTGTGATTTATCGCAACTAATTTAGTTATCTATTGATCATTAACTGGAGTATAGAGACTCTAAAACAGGCCTTTAGCTAACAAAGCGACCCACCTTGAATAGTGATTACCAAACTTGTAAAAAAGTAAATTCTGCAATAAAATAAAAAAAAACTTTGATCTGTCAATATGCTCTATCCAGAACTCCTCAAGTGGAAATGTTTTAGCTTCACCTCGTGTAGTTTCATAAGAAAATCTTCCTTAAGGAACCTTTGGCTATCCGATTATTTATTGATAAATCAAAAAAATAATCAACAGATTAATCGATTAGCAAAATAATGTTTATTTTTTTAGCCCTAATTGCCGTACTGATTTTGAAACACCTAGATATCACTGGAGTCCAATAGAACACTAACAGTCATTTGCTGTTCTCTGCTCCAACATCGTAAAATAAAAGTCCTTTTACTGGTTAGAAGGGAGCTAAAAACATATTGACCACTGGAGTTCCAATAGGAGGGGCACTGTGTCCTTTTGTTTTCTGTACACAATAAAAAAAAAAATGTGAATCCTTATGATGCTCATAGACTGAGTTATTCTTGTGTTTAAAACAATGGCAAAACACGAGACGGTTGTCTTTTCATCAAAGTCAGCATGACAGACTACTAGCTCAGGACATTGTTGAGGTTTGGTCGAATTTTTCCAAGAGAAAGTGGAAACAGGGATAGAAGGAATGGGAAAAAAAAAATACTAACCACCCCCACAAACCATATGCAAACCGGATTGTAGACATGAACACACAGTTCCACACATGCCTTCATAAGACAGCCTGTAGAGATTGTTAATGTGAGGTTGAAGGGAATGGCACACTGCATGTGGGTGGTGCACTCTAATGAATAGCTCTCCTCAGTGAGTAGGATCTATGAAGGGAGGGTCTCATCAAACCAGAAAAGACTGTTTTATTTTGAATGTTTACACTGGAAAAAAAAAAAAAGTAGTCTTAGACTCCATAGACCTGGCCGATGACTTTAGGAGATGGTCACAGGGTATTAATGCCAGAGTTGATGAAAGAAATAATTGTCATCTTCGTGCATGTGTGCCATTCAAAGAACATACAGTGTGTGCTTTATATTGTGAGTACAAACCTGATTGTGAGCTGTATGTTAAGAGTTAAGGGTCAGTGTTCGTGTGGCCCTCAAGCCCACAACCGTTTATGCAGAAGCTGTAACCTCAAGGATAAACCCTCTTTTTGACGACATTTGTGGTTTCTGGTGCTTTCCCTTTTTACAAACTCCATAATCCATGCTTTGAGGTTTTGGTAACTTTCCCATGCCAGACGTTGGTGCCTTTCTGTACAGCTGCTTTTGACTTCTTCAGTTTTAATTATGGATTCTATAGGTTTTGACTTACTTTTTTCTCAAAAACCACTCCATCTGGAGAAAATTACTCACATTAATCATAAAAAGACTATATATTTCTGTGTGTAACAGAGCAACAAGTGAATGCGAACACAGCTGGAAATCTTTGCATTATAGAATTATGCTGTTTTATTTTCCTTTCCAAACTATCTTGCTTCTTAATCTGGACCACTTAAAAAATTATGCATCTCATGTATCAGTATTCAGCATAGCTGTTTTTTCTTTTTATTAATTTTTAAAAAACAACATTCTGAGGTTAAAAGAAGCCAAATTCACACCTGATCTTAAGTGTTCCCATTAAAGTTACAACCCCATAAATGGTTTCAATGACATTCTTCAGAGAAGAGTCTATCTGTTGCTCTTTGATATGGTGTCCCATACATTGGACTCGCAACCCCCTCAAAATACACTATATTCATTTATAGATATAAATTATATTAAGAAATAACATTTTATCATTTCATTGATCATTTTAAATTTATTTTTAATATTATGGGATGATTAATTGTGAATTTTACAATATGGTATATTAAAATTAAGTATTAAATAGGTGTCACGTTCTATTTACATTGCAGTGTCCGTATAAAACTCCCTGCTGTGATGCTTCTCATCTGAAATAACGGAGACGCTCCCCTTCAGAGAGCTGGGTTGCTCTGGGGAAG